ACTTTATAAAATTAGTACGAGAAATGATTAAAGAGGCAGAGAGAAGAGAAATAATGCCTATAGCTACTAAACCTCGTCCTTCATTTTTATCTTCTTAAATCTTGAACTATAATACTACATAAAATGAATTGCTTTCTTGTAATTGTCTTTGTCGTACTTCATTCTTTTTGTTCATTTTTGTTGGAATTGTTTCAATTCTTTTGTACGTATTACCAATTCACCACATCACACTCATTCTCTACTACACCTTCATTTCTACACAAACACATTCGATCGTTTCCTTTCTTCATTATATTAACACTATGGCATCAAACCTCTCTCTCGTTAACTTTAATACCTTCAAGAATAATGGAGACTTCTTGTTGGGTAATTTTTTATTCATTTTCACAGCAGGGCAATTTTTTCTATTTTTGATGATGTTTTTTATTTACAGTAAAGTAATGCTCAGTATTTATTCATTATTTCTATTGGTAGTTGTTATACAATATGCAGCATTTTGATGATTTCCTCTGGTTCATTATTCTTATTTTTGTTATTATAAATCATTCATTGTTGTATTGTATATTATGTTGTATTGTTTATGAGCATTAATAGTTTGTGTACTTATTTCTGCTCCACTTTTTATTGAAATGTGATTTTTTTACATGCCATAGCTTTTATACATAAACTTTTATTGAATGTGTTTATATGCATTGATATTACTTATCATTAGTAACACTTTTATTACTTAACTGTCATAAATATTATTGTCAATGTGTTTTGCTATTATTGTCATCATAAATCTAGTTTTATTGTTATTATTGTTGTTGTTGTTGTTATCGTTAATATTTTATGAGCTATTAAACTATTTTTTCAATGTGTGTTATTATTATTATTAGTATTATTATTATGGTTAACATAATCACAACTAACAAGTTGGTACAAAACTCAGTATCAGTCCATAACAAACAGACTATGATACACAATTACATATTTAAATGTCTCCTCAGAATTTGTGCAGATCCCAATAACACAGTCTTCTGTATGTGCTCTACTTTGATGTTAATGTCCAACCTCTTTAACCAGTCATTGATCCTGTATGATACTGCCTCCAGCACTCCAACTACAATTGCTATTACTTCCACCTTCTTCATCCCCCATAGCTTCACAATTTCCTGTCTCAATTCCTGATATTTCTCAACTTTTTCATCTTCCTTTCCTTCAACTCGAGTATTACCTGGAACTGCCACATCTACAATCATACACCTCTTCTCCCTTTTCATAACAACTACAATATCTGGCTTGCAATGTTCAACCATTCTATCACACTGAATCATGATGTCCAAAATCTTTACTTCAACTGTTTCAGTTATCCCCTCAGGCTTGTGACTGTACCAATTCCTCCCTCTTTCCATATCAAATTTCCCACATAGCTCCCAATGGATGAACTGAGCAATCTTGTCATGTCTCCTTTTGTATTCTCTCTGAGCTAGCACTTTAGATCTACATTCACTTACAATGTGGTATACACTCTCACCTTCTCTCTGCATAAATGACACAATGGTGATCTCATTGGAGCCATCAATCTTGCATTTAATATAGTTAGTTCTCAATGCCTGTTCTTGACCTGCACAAATAAGAGCCTTTGTCTGTCTCTAGTTTTATACCACTCTTTTGTAACCACGTCTATGTCTTGTGTATATATCTACTCTTTCACTCAGTTGTCTCCCTGTAATACTGTCCATACATTCTTGTTCCTATCCATCTTTCTTCAGTTGCTACCATCTCTAGTTGTTTATAACTTTCCTTTGGCCTACTCCCCTCTACACCTAAGATCTACTTCTTCCAACTACTTTTGATTTTTAACATACCAACCAAGAATATTTTCTCCAGCTTTTATACTTCTCTTACATCCTAATAATCCCCTTCCTCCTCTCTTCCTTAATAAATATAGCCGGTTAATTATTATTTTTATTTTTATTTTTTATCATTGTTATTATTAATTATCACTGCTGTTGTTGTTTATGTCATTATTTAGTAAGCTAATAAATTGAACCAAAATATAAACTAGTACTTTAAAGTTATCGACATTAATTATTTACATTTTTTAATGATACTCTGTAATATGCTGTTATTAAAATAAATAATTCTTAAAAATAAGGTCATGTTTACACGACTCCATCATTTTTGTTATTCCTGTTTTAGGTGTTTACACTAATCCAGCAGCTGCATTGTCATTAGAATTTATCATTTGTTTATAGAATTATTCCTTTTAGTATTTGTTTTTATTTTGTTTGGATTTGATATCAGTGTAAACCCAACTAAAAATATTTCGTTTTTGTTTAAAATGTAATCGTGTAAATGTGGCCTAAATTAAAAATACATTTAAGGAAATGTAGGAAGCTCTATGTCCATGGATAATGAACTAAAGGCTCCATTGTAAGTTTATTTAAGAATTACTGATCCTTTTATATAATATTAATGTAATACTGAGTTGATATCATGTTATTTTCAGTCTAGGCTGCTGAAGTTGAGGCTGAAGGCTCTGGACTTATGAGTAATTGTAAGTGATATAGTATTATAATTAGGAGACAATAATTTAATAATTTTACTGTTGTTCACATATTGGGTCAAAGTCTCTATGAGATTGGCAAAGTTTTTTAAATGCTGTAACTTGAAAAATATTTGTCAGAAACTGCTCAAAGTTTGTATACAGCATAAGTTCATCAATATGTTCCAGAAAATTTAATAAAATTTTAGGGTGTTTTCAGAGCCATTTTTTAGAAAAAACCATGGGCTAGGGTACTTTTCAAAAATTTGCCAATTTTTTTAAATGGCCATAACTCAAAAAATATTTGTGAGAATCAGCTTAAACTTTCTAAACAGCATAAGTACATCAATATGCACCAGAAAATGTAATAAAAATTTTGGGTGATTTTGGAGCCATTTTTCAGAAAAAACCATGGGCTATAGCCTTGGGCATTTTCCAGAAATTGGCCAATTTTTTTAAATGGCCATAACTCAAAAAATATTTTTCAGAATCAGCTTAAGCTTTCTAAACAGCATAAGTACATCAATATCTACCAGAAAATGTAATAAAAATTTGGGGTGATTTTGGAGCCATTTTTCATTAAAAAAACCATGGGTTATTAGCCTTGGGCATTTTCCAGAAATTGGCTGATTTTTTAAATTGGCCATAATTAACTTAACAAATATTTGTGAGAATCAGCTTAAACTTTTTAAACAGCATAAGTACATCAATATGCACCAGACAATGTAATAAAATTTTGGGGTGATTTCGGAGCCATTTTTTAGAAAAATCATGGGCTATAGCCTTGGGCATTTTTTAGAAATGGGTTGATTTTTTAAAATGGTTGTAACTCGAAAAATATTTGTCGGAAACAGCTCAAACTTTCTACACAGCATAAGGAAGAATGAATTTTTTTATACTATTATAGTGATCTAATTGATAATCATGGTGTGTGCATACGAGTGTTAGGTGATATTAAATTATTACCAACTGATGTACAAGAATCAGTAGCAAGAGCTGTGATCATGACTAAAAACAATAACAAGTAAGTACATGTACATGTACTTATTATAATTATATAAAGTATACTTACTTGTACTGGAAAGTGTGTCAGTATATC